GAAAAATTGTTCAGATAAAAAATGTTCGCCATCATATTTTACATACAAGGGTCACAAGGGGTCAAAACGGGATAGTCAAATTTGACGAGAGTCAAACGCCGCGAGGGTCTCAAGGGGAGAGTCAAATTTCACAAGGGTCACAAAAGGATGGTCAAATTTCACGTGAGTCAAACATCACGAGGGTCACAAGGGGATAGTCAAATTTGACGAGAGTCAACGGCGCGAGGGTCAGAAGGCGATAGTCAAATTTCACAAGGGTCACAGGGGTCACAAAAGTGTGGTCAAATNGAGGGCCAAATAGTCCATACGCTAGCCCTGTTTCTGTATGCACCACGAAACTAAGTAAATGCTTAATTGTTAGACCATTATATCATGGAAATGGTTGCGGATAGGAAAAGAGGTTTTAAACAAAATCTGTTTGTCATGTCAAAATACACATTCTTTGTCTTGAAACTTTTTTCCCTAACTATTATAGATAAAGAGTTATGTGAGGTGGGAGTAGAGCGGGCGGCGCGTTAGCCCGCGATGTGTCGGGGCGCTCCAATGTGTATTTCGGCAAACTCGATAGAGATGGAGAAAAATTGTTCAGATAAAAAATGTTCGCCATCATATTTTACATACAAGGGTCACAAGGGGTCAAAACGGGATAGTCAAATTTGACGAGAGTCAAACGCCGCGAGGGTCTCAAGGGGAGAGTCAAATTTCACAAGGGTCACAAAAGGATGGTCAAATTTCACGTGAGTCAAACATCACGAGGGTCACAAGGGGATAGTCAAATTTGACGAGAGTCAACGGCGCGAGGGTCAGAAGGCGATAGTCAAATTTCACAAGGGTCACAGGGGTCACAAAAGTGTGGTCAAATTTCACGAGCGTCAAATATCGCGAGGGTCACAAGGGGATAGTCAAATTTCACGAGTCAAACGTTGCGAGGGTCACAAGGGGATAGTCAAATCTCACAAGGATCACAAAAGGATGATCAAATTTCACGAGAGTCAAACGTCACGAGGGTCTCGCGGAGATGGTCAAATTTCACGAGGATCAAATAATTCCTGCACTAGCCCTGTTTCTCCATGCACAACCGAATTGAATAAATGTTATTATTGGAATTTCCATTGCCGGTGATGTTGAATCTGAATCCGAAGTCGGGTTTTGCAAGTTGCGGTTATGCTTTCTTATTTATAATAATTCAATGTTTAAACCATCATATAGCAGATACGGTTGCAGATAGATAACAAAGTTTCAAACAAAAAATTTAGAAAATATAAAAATACACATTTTTTGTTCCATGACTTTGTTCCCTAACTATAATAGATAACGAGTAATCGGGGGTGGGAGCGAAGCGGGCGGTGCATTAGCTCCTGGGTGAGGTGTCGGCGGTAAGCGCGTAGACCGCCCGCGCTCTCACTTAATGGGCTATATATCTCTGCAAATAATGGAGATATGACAAAACGACACACCATTAAATCTATGTATTTTTTATGAGTGAACTAGTTTGACGCTAATTTTTTTTCCGTATCTTGAAGCATTTACTCAGGAAACAGTATTAAACAAAAACGTAGGATGTAATTTGCCTCATAATTCAGCAAAAGAGCGTAAATATTCCATTAACGGCTAGGTGTAGACAGACAGTTGCGAAATTTGACCCTTGTGACATTTAATCCTTGCTCCATTGATCACGAGAAGTTCAATTATTACATCGTCTAATATTTATTAACTTTATTTTAAACATCTATTCCTTCTCAATGTCCATTGAAGCAAGTGGAGTAAAAAGTCATGCCGTTGTCGATCAAATTCAAACGATTTAAACGGAGCGCCAGGCGTTCGGCGCCCTAAAGGCTGCGCAGTGGGACTCAAGCGCGGAGTGGGGGACCTGTGGGACTCGCGTCCGGCATTACTGGAGAGTAGTGCCTCCGGGTCTGACTCCTCGCATGACTCATCATCTGTCTCATCTGTTGTAGCTCCTTCTTCCTCAACTGTCTATAGACACAGAGGAGATATCAGACAGATTATCATTTATTCGAAAACTACACTGAATCTAGTTTTCTTTCAATTACATCGAAATTTTTACGCAATAATTTTATGCATATGACAGATAAATCTTCAAAAATCGGAAATTTGATCATTTGAGATCGATTATTGATTTTTTTGCCCTGTACATCTCATTTCAAATGAGAATTTTTCGAAATTGATTACAAAACACTATACTAACATTATACTAACACTATACTCACTCATGTCCATATAAATAACTCCAAATTTTTTAACTGCTTTAGCAAAATTCGTTGCATTATCTGTGACTGTAGCCACAATTTTGTTCGTAACAAGCCCAAAATCATTGTGGATGCTCTCCAACTGGTCAGCAATTTGATCGAATGAATGAGAACCGGGAAATCGGCGACAGGCGATAGCAGCTAATATTTGCTTCAATGTGTCATCATCAATCTAGAATAAATATTCGATTCCATTTAAAGTGAATGCTAGTAGGGAACAAGACAAGGAATTGATTTTTTTAAAAATTCAATCATGCAAGAAAGAAGGTATCTTGACATGGATCTTTGAATGGATTAAACAAACAAGATACTTGAGACCGATTAATTCATAACAATTTCGTCGCATAATTGGATGTCTCATTATGCGATCAGGAGATTCAACCATTGAAGAATCTGACAAAATTTCCATAATTATTCGAACAGAAATTCTTCCGATTCCCAGAGAATTACAGACAGAACAATACAAATTAGATATTCGATTCAGCAAGTTCCTCAATTCTTATCTTGAGTGGATTGAATGAGACGGATAGTCTCCATAATAATAGTATATTTCTAACCTAGGGAGGGAAAATAAAGGATCCTCAGCCGCCAGTGCAATTGCCAGCCGAGCCGAAGGCGAGGTTGGTAAGCACGCGGCTGAGGGTCCTTTATTTTACTTCCCGTGGTTAGAACGCGATTTTCCGTCTCGGCGTAGGCGCAAAGTCAGAGTTCCCTCCCGCGAAGCGGGAGGGAAATGTAACTTTGCGCCCGCCGGGACGGAAAATTATTTCATAGGTAATCAAACTTTCGTAGTTTTCAAATTCATCAAATATAAAATTCAAATTTGACTTACCCAATGTACTGATACTCCGAGATACCGGTGACTGCTATTGCTCCCCACATCAGCAGTCGTACACACATGTGTTTGTTTAGCTAATATTCTCTTTACAGTATTCATGTTCTCATGATGCATCTTGTTAATTCGTTTCCCTAGTGTACGTCTCGACATGTGTTTTAATTTTTGATTCCCTCTCAATGGCAAATCTAAAAAAAATACATATACAATTAAATTTTAATTCTCGTAGGCGCATAGAAATATCGAGAGTGTCACGACAATTCAGTAGCAAGGCAGTGAGTTGATTTCAGGCCACACGAATGTATTCCGGAATCTCAGAGGGATAGTGGCTTTTATTTAGGACTTCTGTGGGGGAAAAATTCGAGCTACTATAAACTCAAACTACCGGTTTTGATAAAAATTCCACTATCTCTTCGAAATTTCCAGATGAGTTATAAAAATTCATGGCAAACTGTAATTTACTTGTATCGATTAAACACTTCGCTACTGAAATCACTCTGTTAATTTCTTATTTAGGTGGTATTGGAGGGATAGTTCATGTTATCATGTCGTATCATCCATTCTCTATCTATCCAATCTGACAACTCAGTAGCACAGTGGCCCAACCAGTGAAAATATCGTGAATATATTTTTCTCATGATTGGATCAATTTCCAACAAAGAGTGTCAGGAATAAATTCCTGAATAATTCCTACGTGGATAATTTGAAGTTTGCCAGATCCCACGTAGGAAAAAACGAACGGGTCGAGCTTGGCCTGTTATGTCCGGAGATGTTGCTAAGCGTCGAAGGGCAACATCGAGAGAAAAGTTATTATCGAACTAACTAATTCAATTCTAACAAAATGAAGAGTGCTAGACTCGTAATCACTTTGAGTTTTATTTTTATTCCAGGACGACGCTAAAATTTTGACTCTTCTGCTTGAATTTTGTAAATTGAATTAAGTTAGAAACATTTGAATTTATTCAGAATTTTCACAGGATGAAGGAATTTTTGGTATCAAAAGGATTACAGCCAAAAATTATGACACAATTAACTCTTCTAAGACCCGATCTGAATTTATTTAACAATGAATTTTAATTTTACAATCGAAGAAAAACAAGAGGTTTAATTCTTAATAATTCTACTTCACTTGAAATGATTTTTAGTTGCTATTCTTGAAAAATTTGCTTTTAGATACTAAGTCTGGAAAATTTCTATTTTCGATTTGGATTTTTAATTATTTGGAATTCGTGTGGGTTCTTCGACTTACTACTTGTTGTAACTCAACCCTTCAATCAGCTTGTCCAGCGGCTGCTGTGGCACCTATAATTTTCGGGGCCCCAAGACTCACAGTAGTTTTCTTCTTCCACTGTCGCTCGAAACTGTTTTTGTATTGATATTGTTCCAAAAGTTCAGTTTAATTTTTATTTGGTGAGTTCGTTCTCAAAATGTTCGCTAAAAAACACTATTCTCGATTCAAGGCTAAGATTTACCCAGTCAATTTTTCACTATATCACCTCTTTTCTGTAAGGTCACCAAAAAGAAAATCTATTGTCTTATTGGGGTGAAAAACTGACAGACCGATTCCGCGGATTGAAGTCAATTAATTGTTCTGAGGAGTGAGGGACGACTGGTTTTCCGGAATCAGGCCCAGTAACAGGCCCAAGCCCGATGGCCGGACTGCCGAATTTCGGGACCCGTTCCTCAACCGGGACCGCGCCGGACTTGGTTGAAACCTGGAATGATAACATCGAGCCAGGTCTGGGCGCCGATCTCGGCCCAGCGTTGGTTGCCAGTCTTTGGGCAGGCTCAATTAAACATGACTTAATTACATGAATATGATATGGGTGATTGAAATACAAGTAATTCAATATTACTCCTCGGCATTCGTAACAAATTCAACGAAGAAAAAAAATCAATACCGGCATGCGACTGGCGCCGGGCTGGCGGCCAAACTATTCATGGCAATTATCAATAATAACAAAAACAAAATAATTAACATTTTTTAGGATGATTTTTAGTATTAATTGTGCCTTATCTACCAAACCCGAACGCAATCATCGCTGAAAAACCAATTTTGTTACCTTAAAATATTACCCTAACGTGGGCTCGAACCCACGACCTCACGACTACTAATCCGACGCCCTAACCACTAGCCTACCGCGCAATTCATAAAATCTCTACTTTAAATCGTCCATATTAATTCCATCTCTGTTTTTTTCGATTTGAACGTTTTATTATTCAGTTGATAGAAATATTAAGTGATTCAACTGTAGTTTAATCGGTAAATTAATTCAATAATGAATAACAATAATAATAATTATTACTTACAATAATAATTGTGACAATGATGATTAATGTTGAATGACGATTCTTCTTCTTTTCGTAATAATTAGCGAGTAACATGTGACTTCAATACCTACAATGTCACCATTTTTTTACGATTACACCCTCAAAATTTTACCGTCAAGCTTCCACCCTTACCATTCAACCCTCACAATGGCAGCCTTATGATTTTTTCGCCTCTTTCCATTATTGCGATTTGACCCTGACAATTTTACTCTTCAGATTTTACCCTTATGATTCCACCCCTATGATTCCATTCTCATCATCTCACCCTTGCGATTTAACTCTTATAATTACACCAACGGCTGGAGCCCAATGACCAAGCTCCGGGCCACCGCTGGCTGGGACTTGGTTATCGAGCTCCGGCACGCCAATGTTTGGCCGAGGCTGGGCCAGATCTGTCAACCAAGGCTCGGTTATCCGCCCTTCCCCCGAGATTCAAGTCCTGGTCCTCAGGGATGGCCGAACCTCGGTCCAAGCTTGGGCGCCCAGACTTGGCAAGNCTCTTATAATTACACCAACGGCTGGAGCCCAATGACCAAGCTCCGGGCCACCGCTGGCTGGGACTTGGTTATCGAGCTCCGGCACGCCAATGTTTGGCCGAGGCTGGGCCAGATCTGTCAACCAAGGCTCGGTTATCCGCCCTTCCCCCGAGATTCAAGTCCTGGTCCTCAGGGATGGCCGAACCTCGGTCCAAGCTTGGGCGCCCAGACTTGGCAAGCCCAGGCTTGTGTCAGACTTGGCCCGTTTTTTCAATACTGGCATTTCCTATGTGGGATATGAAACGTCGATTTGCTATTTTTTATTACTATATTCTGTCGAATAGTCAATTACCATTTATCATTTTTCTATGCAGAGGATCCTCTACGGTGGAGAGGCTTGATGATGACGACAAAATCCAATTAGTCACATTTTCATGGTATTGTCTTTGGACTGTTTCAAAGCTCTTCTTTGCAGAAGGTCAATTTGATGATGTTCGTTTCTCTTCTTTGTGCTGCTCCACAAAGAAGCACAAATCGAATTGATATCGGTCAATTTGATGATGTTCGTTTCTCTTCTTTGTGCTGCTTTCGTCTCCAATTCCCCAATATAGCGCCGCTGTGTAGCTCAGGAGGTATTGTTACAGTAGACCATCCCGGAATGGCCTCTGCATATTCCCTTCACCCATCATTCCGTTCGGCAGGGGGCTCCGATGGCTTCTACCCCCTGGTGGTGAACGTTTTGTTACCACCAGATAGTAAATTGTCACTCCGGAGTTGTTTTGATACGTGCGAATCTCGTGTTGCCATGCTGAATGTTTCTCCTGGCTCCAGTGGGTTTTTCCGCTGCTGTTTGGGCGTTTTAATTATGAAATACGGTGCGTCCGACGTAGTGGAGTTCATTGGGGAGGATCTACGGTGCTCCTGGTGTTCGTTCGTGTACTGGACAACGGGCATTTCACCCCAGATGACCAATCGAGAACAAACAATACTCATTGTCAGAGTATTAAATTCAAAGTTTGGACAGAATTTTTTTTTACAATTCTCATTATCATTTTTCTCCGAAATGAAGAGTCAAGAAGCTTTAAAATCGATTTTTCTCAAATGATGACAGGTTTTAAATATTTAATCTATTTTTTTTCGAAATCTACGGAAAATTTCCGATGAAATCATGTGTGAAATATTATGGACAATTTTGATTTTCAGCCATAAAAAAATCATTCAATAGTTAATCATTCAGATTTAGCGGTTGAAAGCAAGGATTACGAAACAACGATCATAACAAATGACCGGGGAACAATGGGATTGATCCGTTTTATTATAATATCACAAGTTACAAGAAAAAATTGGGGTCTGAGTGAATGATGGCTACAGTGATACTAGGTAACACTCTTTTTGCCACTGACGTGTCAAACACTCGGTTTTAGAGGTCTGTGTGGAGGTTGTAAAACTGTGCGTCAGGGGCCTCAGTGCGTGAGGCATTTGGACAGTGCCTGAAGCACTCTCAGCCTACTCTGATACCAACGTGAACTTGATCTTATAGAGAACAGCATCGCGCATGCGCCCTAAACAAAATCAGCAGGGCTTCATCCCCCCAACCCCCTGTAGGGATTGTGGTGTGATGGGAAAGGCTTGAATCAATCCTCTACTAACAATTAATGTAAAATTGTTGTTTATTACTAAACGCGTCTTAGGGATATTTATAAGTGATGGGAGAAGATGGTGACTCCCGAGTATTCGGCGGTCAGTGCCGGACTGAATATAATATTCGCAAAAGGCTAGAATTCGGATACGCGTTACAATAGGTGCGAGTGAGAAGTAGACATTTTATTGGCGCGTGCCAGAGAGTGATGATGTCACTGATGTCCAGTCGTCTCAACTAAGCACGTGGTCGTGTCCGTGTACTAATGCATAAATGTGGATGTAGCGAGGCGCTACACCCCCAGGGAGCCTCCGTCCCCCTGGACCCCCTCCCGCGCCCCCTTCTCCATTTTGAACCTCGCATTTGACACGTCTGTGATAAAAATTACTATTTGATATTCGGTCGTTACGCTTGGTTTGAAACTCATGTGATTTGGTAAACTTCACACTCGTCTGAAACCGCGCTTCACGACCTTATATCAAAATATACAATTTTTTTCTACCACGTTTCCTAAGAATTCCGAAGATTTTGGCACTATCCGTGAGAGAAATTTGCATCACGAGCAAAGTACTTTCGGTGAGGGGGATGAATGCATGACTCTTCTGAGTATCTGGAATTCTCTTAGCTTTATCAGATCGTGCTTTTAGTGTTTTCTTTGCCGCATCATATTCTGACTTCGAGCTGAAAAAAATCCTTATTTCTTACAAATTTTGAGTCGGCCACTCATACAGTACTTTTGCTGTCAAGATTTCACACCTACCAATGTATTGGAGACTAGCACGTGATGTTAATCTTTTCAGATTCCTTCCGATCCCATCGCAAGCACTTTTTCCATGGGATGTAGCACAAAAATGCCATTCAGCGGCTATACCGAAATATTTCAAGTGAAACATCAAATCGGTGATCATAAATCGTTTCTTGAAATGACTCGGAGCGCCTCCGAGACGTAAAAACTTTCAAGCATTAAATGATGATTTAGATGTACATGTAAATGGCGACTGTGCCATGGGAATTATTATCTGAGATGATGACCATGCTTTTGTGCAGCAGACTTTCCCCAGATTTATAATAAACCACAACGGTGAATAAAGTGGCTGAGTCATTGTTATAATAAAATGACTGTCCTGAATTCTGTTCAACAAATCTATAATTTTCTGCAAAGTCGAATTTTATCATCCCTTCTTCTGCCGCTAGACTATTTTTAGTCTTGAAGATGTATTCTGCTTGTTTTTGAGCCACGAAATCGTGACTTTGAGTTTTACGATCAATTTGCAGAATTCAAGAATGAATTCATCACATAGAAGTTGTTCTGTCTCTCAAGATGTCGATTATCGTATTTCCAAACTTTGAATGTTACTGCTTCCACTGTATGTTCATCAAAGACTGCTTTTAAGTATTCAGATAAAATGGTTATTCCTGGACACATTTCACATCCATTTTCTCCTTCAGATTAACACTGTGTTGTCGGTTCTGTAACGTGGTCAATTTTTACTGGGGATAAAAATGGACGTTATCTCGCCCTTTTCCCTTGGTAAAGTCAGAAAACTGAAGCTCGATGATTGTGGGTGCCAGTTCTTTGTTTCGACGGAAACAACAAACCGAAATTGGGTCGAAGCGGAAAAATACAACAAAACCGAAGATTCAAAAACACAAAAACCTCAACCTAAGGGGGCCAAGGGAAGGGTGTTTGCGCTGCTTAGGGGGTCGGTTGTGGAGAGAGAGGTAGGTTCAGGTGGAGAACGGGTCAGTAGGCTCTTATCCTAAAAGAAAGAAACTCAAGGTCAAAATTTAATGCTAAAATGTACGGGTCTATATTGTCTCTATAATTCAACAAAAGAGTAATAATCGTAATAATCGTCTCAAAAACCCATAGTCCGCTCTGAGAGTGAGAGAGAGACCAAAAAATATATATCTATCCATCAAAATTAGTAATAATAATTCCATAATATCACAATAATATCACACTGTAATTAATATCACGCGATGTACGCAGAGACCCAAAAAAATATAATAAATCCAAAATAAAATAAGTAACCTCAAAAAATGGAACAAAAATGAGAAAAGAAAAAAAGAATATCGAATTCAATAACGAAGAAAAACTACTTATCATCCCGAATTTCAAAAATAATCCCCGACGAGGGAACGTAAAATAGATTAGGAATTTCAAAGAAAACCCGAAATTTCTAAGGCGCAGCAAATGCCAGTTACAAGAAAAATCCTAGCGCAACATAATTCTCAGAAACGCGCGGGCTCGAGAGCATAAAAAGAACACGTGGTAGCTAAAAAGACAGACGCAGCGCATAGAATCTACGGAGGCGCGACCTTGAAGCGAAAACCACATGAAAATGTCTCTAACGAAGGCGATGAACGCATGGAAAAAATAATCAATAAATTCTAACAGGCCGTCGGCACACGAAAATACTAATTATTCCGTATTTTCAAGGATATTTCATCCCGAGGCGATGAACGCAACATTGAAACGACCGGAGCGAAATGAAAATAGAACTACATCCCGAGAAAATCGAACGAACGCGAAAATCCCGAAAAGTTCTTAAATGAATAAAACGTCTAATTAATTAAGCCATAATGACTGGCAAGACCGAAAGGTAAAGAGCTCGAAGTGTTCGAGAAGGCGTCTAGCACAGAAGAGCCTCAGGAAGTCGGAAACTACACGGCTTTTATGCAAAAATCCCAACGCAAAACTTCCGAAATATTCACTCACTTAAACGACATAAAACTATCCTTCCGGGTGCGAGAGAGAAGCACGAAATCCACCATCGAAATAGAGAGACAGATGCGAAATCTCTCGCGGCGTCAAAACTCGCAAAAGCTGACAGGCGATTAATGCAATTATTGGGCGTTACTTAAGCTCTACCGCACAGAGCAAGACCTCAAAACCAATAAATTATGATCCAAAAACCCTGAGATGAGAAACGAACGCGACATTAACCCGAGACATGCGAATTCCAACACCAAACATATGTGCGAAATTCACCAACGAATATGACGCAATTTCCCACTCGCCTACGCTGTAGTCAAAATTCCTCAATCTCGCCCAATATATTACTCACGACGCTCAAAATGTTCCTAACTCACCCACTATTGTCTTACACCAACAATAACTCCCAAGTCGTGAGTAGTAAACGGTTCACGAACGGCACAATAAGTCCAAACTACTCAACACGTGGTCACTCTGACGCTGCGAGAATCGATACTGCTGTTCAATGGCGGCTCGGCGCACGGAGAGGGACGTGGACAGAGCGCCTGGATTGCGCAACGATTACATAACGGTCGGTAACCGGGATTTGTACCTAACGAAATTCAAATTTAAATAACTTTAAACAGAAATTAATTACTACAACGATTGAAATGGATGTCAGAGTGGGTTATTAACTCAAGAAAAATTTCTATTTAACTATAATCTCCTCTCCGGAGTCATATTCTCAGGATCATGGGCCTAGGCAAATAAATTACGAAAGAAACGAACATAACTTAATTACCAAAAAATGAAAACAATTAGAAAAATCGAACTCAAACGACCTTGGTGATTCACGCGAGAGCAACGGTCGGGATTGATCGCGTGACCTTCCACTTAACCAAAAACTAACCCTTCCCAAACTCCAAAAATCCACTAATTGAGCGGTAGTATTCCAACTACTCCTACATAATCCCCGAAAATTCGAAACGAAGGGAAAAATCCTCAAAAATGATCGCACAGCTCGGTAATATCTCGGCCTAAGTCACGAAAATTCTATCGGCCCTATAAAGTTAATTTTTCCCCATCGAATTAACAAAACAGAAAGCGTAAAATGCAAAACAAAAGACAAAACGAATCCAAAAATACGAAAGAGGCGTCAGAACGCAAAACAAAATTCCCAATAACGAAAAAAAAGGATAAGAAAAAAAGGCGTTAGAACGCAAAACCGAAATTCTGATGAATCCAAAATGACTCGAAATCTCCAATTATTAACAAAAATGAATTGAGTCGAAACTATTGGCTCGACTGGGTCATTTTCTCTGCGTACTTACGGCTTTTCTGGTAGTTTTTCCGTTGATCCCGCGGTGAGCGAAGGGATTTCCCCAGAATCCCTTACAGTTCTTTGCACGTTATTATTTTGAGACAATCGTTCAATGTCTGCAGAGAATGATCTCCATCCTTGGACATTCTTGCAATATTGCTTGCATCAAACATTGAATCAGTATTTTCGTGGATAGGACGAACGCAAAGTTTGTGAATACCACTCGTTCCTGCAAGCACATAGTATGCTGGTCTGAGTTCTGTAAATTTCGTAAGTCTAATCTTGCATTGAGGGTATTGGATTTCAAATTGAACGAATGATTCTTTGAGATTGCATAAAATAAGTCTTTTCTGACACTGGATCCGAGATTCATTAGTTTTACAGGAAACGAAATCTTTATGACCAGGCATGATTTTACTATTTCGATCATCTTCGTAGAACTCCCTGACTATCCTTTTATAAGTGTCAGAAATTTTTCAATTTCCAGGTTTTGGATTGGGATGACTCAAAATTCCATTCTGTTCAATAATTTTTTTCGCAACATGAACCTTTCGTCGTGTGGTTTGAAATTCAGTAGCAATTCTATTAGTTGACCACGATTGCGGAGAAAGTGTCAATATAATTATTTTCTGATCATCTTTCATGGAACGAGTTAACCTAGTCAAAATTATTCGAATGGAGAGGAAAATCCAATGTTTTCCCAAACGTGAGATGTGCTTATGAATTTGAACTTACTGTATTTTCCTTTTGTTCAGAGAAGACTGACCAAGGACAGATAATTTTGAGTTGACCTGGAATAATTTCTCCTGTGAACAGGGTTCAGATGAGCTGGACGATAATGTTTGAGGTTACGAGGACTTTGAATTCCAGAGCTATGATGCTGTATCTTTTGGATGGCATTTCTGGACCAAAAGTATGAAATTAATTTTCTAGAAATTTTTACATAGATTTCGCACAAATAAAAGAAGATAGAATGAAAATAGTGATTTCTGACAATTGTTTTAAAGTTCGAAGTAGAAAATTCAAACCCTGTACTATTAAATCATTTTTTAATGACTGAAAACAAAAATTCTCCGTAATATTAGGTGTACAAATAAGTTTTAGGACGCTCGATTCCGTGTCATGAAAGTAATTCAAATTTACCGCTTACATATGATATGGTGGGGTTAGTTATGTAGTATCAAAACATAAGCGAGTCATAAACATAACCTTAAATTCTGTGAATAAACATGCAGACCGATAAGCTATTTATTAGACACTGCATTCGCTATGAATTCCATCAAGGAAAAACTGTTAGGAAAGCATGTCACTCGATTTGTTCTGTTCTTGGGGACAACATTGTTTCTAAAAGTACATGTGAGTATCGGTATAAGCGATTTAAAGAAGGTGATTTCGACGTTAGCGACCGTGAACGTACCGGGGCCCCTGTAAGGGTGGATGACAAGGAACTGCAAGCGTTGCTGGATGAAAACTCTTGCCAGACGGAAAAACAACTTGCAAAACAGCTTGAAGTAACTCAACAGACCGTTTCCTATCGCTTAAACGCAATGGGAAAGATTCCAAAAGGAACAAAGTGGGTGCCACACTTTTTGACTCAAGAAAATAAAGATAGCCGACTTGACATATGTCTGAATCTTTACAATAAGCAACATAGAAAGTCTTTTTTGTGGAAAATTGTAACCGGCGATGAAAAGTGGATTTATTTTGATAATCCAAAACGCAAATATCAGTGGATTAACCCCGGCGAGCCGACGACATCGACACCGAAGCGCAATATTTACTGTAAGAATATGCTGTGTATATGGTGGGATATGAAAGGCGTACTGCATTATGAACTTTTGAAGTCTGGCGAGACAGTTACTGCCGATCGCTATCGTCAACAATTAATAAGATTGAACCAAGAAATTGAACAAAAACGTCCATTTACTGGCAAAGGAAAACGTCCAGTAAAATTGCTCCATGACAACGCCAGGCCTCATGTGGGTAAAGCGGTCAAAGACATGTTAATGGCTCTTGGATGGGAAGTTGTGCCACACCCGGCGTATTCACCAGACTTAGCTCCAACTGATTTTCACTTGTTTCGGAAGATGCAAAACGAATTGACTGATGTGCGATTCAAAACATTTGAAGAAGTGCAAAAATGCGGAAGGCATCCGTGAATTACCTAGCAGATGGCTGAAGATCATTCAAAATGATGGAGATTATTTTGATGCATAAATGTAGTTTACTTTTATTCGAAAATTAATTTTAAATTTTTTACAGTGTCCTAAAACTTATTTGTACACCTAATATTTCACACATGATTTCGTCGAAAATTTTCCGTGGATTTCGAAAAAAATACATAAAAATTTTTAATCCTGTCATAATTGGAGAAAAATCGATTTTAAAGTTTCTTGACCTCTCATTTCGAAGAAAAATGATTGTAATTGTACAAATTTTTTTTTCTAAAACTTTGAACTAAATATTACCGAAAAGCAATTGTACAATTTTTCACTCCGATGAGTCATCGTCAAGACAATGGCAATCGAAAAAAAGTGTAAAAACTGATTAATCACTGTAGTGGCGCCTCTCAATGACGTTAACTTTTGATTCATGCCTTAAAATTCACATTTTCGGGTGTACTAAATCATATGAAATCGGCACATCGATTCACAAAATTGAGGTTTGGTGGTTGTCCGATTGGTGCGAAATGCCTCATAAGTTGAAGACATTTTTATATCGAATTTTCACATCAAATTCTTGAATTCTTTGTTATAGAATTCTTTACCTTGATCGATATGTAGCTTCTGAGGTATGTGACCTTGTTTGAGCACAGATTCCATACCTTTGTTATATCCGATCCACTGTTGGTGTTGATTGGCACAGCCCATGCAAAGGGTCTAGCCGGATAAGCATGGTGAATCGGCCCCCAGCGAATTTCAAGGCGGCAATTTTTTCACATATTCACCACCCAAAAAAACAATTCTGTGTAAAATTTCTAATCATTGTATCGAACCCCTGATTTTTTATGCTTAAAAAACTGTTTTTTTCGATTTTATTTTTTTTCGAGTATTTCAAAGCTACCGACAAATCTGAAAAATGGAAAAAATTCTGGAAAATCAAAAACATCAAAATTGAAGGAAACAATTTTTACTTGATTTTTAATTATTAAATAATATTTTTAATCAACACTTCTTTCTTTTAAAAAATTATTCTCATAGGTAAAGATTTTTCTACTACTTTGACAAAAATTGACGAGATTCTAGCCTCAATTCCCCACATTTTGAGAGAAAAAAATGTGGAATATTCTACCTGCGCCACAATAAAAAAAAATAAAAACTTCAAATTTTTGCATTTTTTCATGGAAATCCTTCCGTTAATCATCCCTACAGGTCTGTTAATTGATTATTATATTCTAGTATTGTGGCACATTATACTTTTGAAGGAGAACAACTGCTGGGCAAAATCGCTAGCAAAGCAATAAAACGATTTGAGTTGACTGAGTTCTTAGCTGAGTTTTCAAGCAATATCTCTGAATCTCACAGAGATAGCAACATTTTTGTAATGACCTTTTTTGTTACTATTGATGCGCTCTACAAGAAAGATTATGAGAAAAAAATTGGTATCTGTCTTACATTCCGAGATATTCATTGAAAACTAAACAATATCAAAATTGGCTTGAACTGTTTTGCTGCTATGCTACTCAAATGGAACGCAAGGTATGATGGTATCCCGAGTCAGAATAAAAGTCCTATTTCAATTCCGATTTTTATCAAAATTGAATTCGGAAAGCTCCAAGGGAATCAGTTGAATAAACATCAAACATCATATGTAATCTCTACCATGAAACATACCTGGTAGTCCATATATAAAATTAAAAATTCGTGGCGGGTCCCAAAAGTAGAGAGATACCACAAATCTTTCACTCCTGAGAAATTGAATCGAGAAGAGAAGAGGCCAGCCAGGTTGTGGACAGAATTGAGCAGATCAAACACACATTTGATATTATCAAATTCGTAATCAAAACCTTACGATCTCCTGGTGAATAGTGGGTAAAAAAATAATATTCAGTTATCGGAAATTAGGGAACTAAGTAGAATTAACGTCCACTTGTCAGTTGATTAAAACTGAGAAAATCAAA